CGTACACAAACTAGCTTTTAAGCCTCCACCACGAGCATAAAAGCCAGTGTTTAACCGTTAGAATGCGACCTAAACATTCTTTTATTAAAACACATCAACCAACACTTGTTTTCTACCAAAAACTATGTAGCTTTGAGTTCTTTATCACACCTGGAGACACGTGGGAGAGAGATTCAATATCTCGTCAAGCACTATAACAAAAGCCTAAAAATATCTTTTGTATTTCTCCAAACTATGAAGCTTTGAGTTTTTCGTTATACCCGAGGATACGTAGGAGCAAGACTCGCAATCTTGTCAAGCACATTAATAAATAAAAAATTGTGATCCTTTTTTTTTTCTTTTACATTTTTTATCATTCAAAGAAAACAATTAACATAGGCTAACATTCAATCACAAGTCTAACTAAAAGGTTCCCTTAGAGTATAGCGGATGTGAGGGGTGCTAATAGTTTCGCTTTGCATAATCGACTTCCGAACCTGAGTTTGGTTGTGACGACCATCTTTTATTTCTTTTAAGGGTTTTATTAAAATTTTCTCTTTCCATCTTTGGAATAAATAACTTTTAGTGGAGATTTTGTTTGATATCATTTTCCACAAGCGTGTGATATGCTTTGCAAATGATTGTATTTTTTGAGAAACGAAACTGAGGTGCGTCGGGTATACTTGGTTAGTTTGCCCATTTCTTCCTCCAGAACGGGCATATAAAGTTTTATCAGTAACCACATTCCTCATCCAAATGAGGGGTTCGATGATTTTTGATAGAACGAGAGCCAAAATTTGTAAATAAATAGCATGCAGTCTGACTAGGGGCATTTGATAAAGTCGACAGGTTTTCCACAACAACATTATTTTCATTTAGTCGTACTCCCCATATTAGAATCTGAATCCTTTCTTTATTGCCCATGCATTCTACATAATAACGAGAAAACATATACATTAGATGCATGCAGGTTAAAAATACCATAAAACTCAAAAGATTCAGAGCTTACCAGAAACAATTGTTCTCTCTTCTTAAGAGTGGGATTTCATTAACAAATGGGTTTCAATGAGACGCTTTAAATGTTTCTTATCAACCCAAGTCACTAAGAGTATTTCCCCTATATATCACAAATCATCCACAAACTTTACAATCCAAGCTTTCTGAAACTGATTCTTTTCAGAAAAGTCCTTTTCATTATATACAAAAAAGTTATTCCTCAGCAGAAAGTGGCTCTCAGTCTAATACTTAGAGAATAGGCCAATACACTAACCCTTCATTTCATTACCAACATCATAAATTACGACATGAGCTTCAGAGCTAATAAGGATTACTACAAATATTTGATCTTCAAAGGGAAGGAGCTCTTAAAGAGGTTCAAACCCCCCGAATAGACGACTCGAGGTAGAGCAATTTTCTGCCCCTAGTCTGGGATGCCAGATCATGAAGACATTTATTTGAAGAGATGAAGGAACATGAACTCGTAAGGTTTTTCATTCACATACTTACACCAATATTGGTAAAATATCATATATATATATATATATATATATATATATATATATATATATATATATATATATATATATATATATATATATATATATATATATATATATATATATATATATATATATATATATATATATATATATATATATATATATATATATATATATATATATATATATATATATATATATATATATATATATATATATATATATATATATATATATATATATATATATATATATATATATATATATATATATATATATATATATATATATATATATATATATATATATATATATATATATATATATATATATATATATATATATATATATATATATATATATATATATATATATATATATATATATATATATATATATATATATATATATATATATATATATATATATATATATATATATATATATATATATATATATATATATATATATATATATATATATATATATATATATATATATATATATATATATATATATATATATGAAGGTTGAAGTTCTGAGGAAGCCATGGACAGATGTTTCAGAACCTCTATCTTAAAAGTACTAAAGGGGAGACAAAAAACCCATAGTGGAAAAAACACATTCATAAAGAGGAATAACGATGCACCATATTTTTCGCATATTATCTCGTCCTCATAAGCATTCACAATTCACTAGTTAGAAGATAAACCAACTTCTATAAAAGCACCATCAAGACCACGTGGTATGAAAAAAAAATAGAAATTGGGGAAATAAACAAGATACATCCAAGAAGACAGAGTATCCTTGTGAGACTTACAAATGGTTTTTTGTGATTTTATTTACTCATATTGGACTAACTTTATTGTTGTAGAAAAATGAAATGATATAGATGGAGAAAAATATTAAGTAAGAGGAGAAAGGATAAAAAATAAAGATATTACTTATTCCCTTAAAAATAAGATATATTTTGGAATGTAAAAAGGTTTCAACAAAGACATCCAATCACACACACACAACACTGAAGAGTCTCAGCCTCCTAATAATTTTCATGATGATATCTATGAAAATACACTTGAAGTATATCACATTAAATGCATGGTTCTTTAAGAACTGAAGTACTCATTGTCTATCTATCTTAAAATAATTGAAGGGTGGTTAGCATCAAGGGATGCAATATCAAACCCCCACCAACTTTAAAAATTGGAAAGGCTTAGGGAGAAACTATTATGAGCTGACGAGATGGACCACGTATCTTTCTGGACTGATTATATGAACCCTGGCTGACCACCAAGAACAGGGTCTCACTTCTTTAAGAATGGAATACAATCATCCTTATGATCCTAATATATCTCAATCAAAGAGAAAATCCAACTACTCTCCATAAAGCATGATGTGTGTGTGTGTGTGTGTGTGTGTGTGTGTGTGTGTGTGTGTGTGTGTGTAGAGTAGACACTTAATTGTGGTAATAAGTTTCAAATACAATTTACTTTCACTCTTCTTCCTCACATTCTGAACTAAGTGTTGGAGTTCTAACCTTGGAGGTCCCCCCCCCCCCCTCTTGACTGAATTAGAAGCCACAATCCACCATCACTACCATTTAAGTTCCCATCTCTGGATCCGTAAGGAAATAACTACATTGACAAAGTTAGTACACTTTCTAATTTACCAATCACTTGATGATCGAAAGTATACTTCCAGATTAGTTTTTATGACAAATGAATATATTTCTTGAAAGAATGTTAAGAAGACTCTTATAAATACCTCTACCATAAAGACATGACATGTCTCTTTCTATTAGGCTAATTATCAAACTATATGGTTCAAGAACTTAATCTCTAGCTTCAAGTTGTTGAAAGAATATTTTGACCATTTGTGATATATTGTTGTGCATTTATCTCAAAACACTAGGAGTTGCTCACGCTCAAAGCATTTAGACATCAAATACTTATTTTTTATATAGAAAATCCTTGAATTTTATACTCTAATTGAACATATTCATATAGAGAACATGTTGGTAGATCCAATAATCAATGGCTTAACGATTGTAGATTTTCATAAGCATGTAACCAATATGGATTTGGTTAATTCATTTGATATCATGGATTAACGGGAGTCTAAATTATTATATTTAATTGCATAATTATTATTTATGAGATATGTAGAGATTATAATCACATATCTTACATCATTTTAGATGTTTGAACCATTCTTGAATTAAACACTTCTTACTCAAATTATGATGATTCATATTCATTATTCTTATGAAAAATATATACATTTAACATGCATGATTTTTTAATCAGATATAATTTCCGCATTATTGAAGCTTGCATATTTAAACAAAAAATTGTTATAGGTTCTATTAGAAATAGTTGATATACTAATTTTACAATTTTTTAAAATTTTTATAACTAATTAGGGTTGGGATCATCACACTAAGAGAAATGTTTGGATTTTATAGATGACTTTAATTAAATTAAATAAAATATTAATTCAAATATTTAAATTATGTTATTTCACTTGATTAAAATAAATTATTATTATTATGTTGGATTTCATTGTCTAGTATATTTGATTGATTGTCCAGTATATTATGAGAGTTTTCTTCCCTTATTTGATGATTATATGTTATAATTTTCCAATTATGACAAATTAACCCTAATACTCGTAGTCGTTCCAACAATCAATAAGAAAATAACTCCCGTATTTTATATCATTTTAACATTTATAATATGTTATATCATGTATTCCATTAAATCTAGCAAAACATAGTGTTGGTAATGAAGCAGCGTATTGGCCACTTTCGGAGTTTCCGGTAGGAATCATCACTCTTTTACTAGCTGACGCTATCGAGACTTTATTATTTAGATAATTTCTTTTTTTTTCTTTTCCTTTTTTCATTTGTACCAAAATAAAAATCTACTCACACAATAATATTTCCTTACTACTCAAAATCAAATCGCATTTGATGTTCTATTGAACAAACAACCCGTTCTAAAAACTCATTTGCTTACAAAATTTTTGTAATTTTATAAGTGCTAACTCCACCCCCTTTCAAAATATTTCTACTTATTATTTATATATATATTTTTATTTTTTTTCCATCCCATAAAAATACTCTATTCAATTTTGAAAAATTAAACATGCCTTAAAACATATATTTCCGATATACCCAATTCATATGCAAATTTATTTACATAACTTAAATGTAAAACTTTAATATCATAATTCTTGTCTCTTTTGTGCTTCTTTCACTTAAACATTTTCTAATTTACACCAAATCACAAGCCATTGTGTAGAGAAAATAAAAGAACTTAATTCAACTTTCCTCTTAATGCCTACTCCTTTTTCCATCCTAAAACCTTTGGAGTTAGATGCTCTTTTGACTTAGTTATTTCTCCTTGTTCCAATCTAATGGTTGATTGATCCACATAACACTTAGTTGTTCCCAACATGATAGGTACACTTAGAATATGAGAATACCCCAATTTTTTTGCAATAACAAGAGAGAAAAAAAACTCAATTTGAATGTGAACTAGTAGAAGAAGCAACATGTGTATTGTTATTGCATGAAGAGTTTTCTCCACTAGCTTCAACATAATCATTTTTTCTTTCCTTTTCCATAGAACTATCTTTCAAATGACTTGACAAAGAAGTATCTACAAATCTATGGTTCATCGATTGTGATACACTAGCAATTCCAAGGTTCACCTTTTTTCTCGCTTCTAAACCGAGTTTTGACATGGAACAACTTCGAGAGAAAAACCTTTCTTTCCAATCCTTTGTACCCTTTGAAATTGATTCTTTATATCTGAGTAACACGACTAGTTATCACACAAAACTATTTAATAAAATACAAAGTTCAAATACACATGTTATATATAAGAAAACATACCTCGTCGATAATGTATTAAATCTAGACCGTAAAGTATCTGAAAATGAGTGCATTTCTAGGTCATTTGTTTCCTTATCAATAGATTCAGAAGTTGAAAAAATTTCATTTTGCAATTGTTGTGCCTGTTGTAATGGTTCATCTTCATTAGATGTTATTGGAGTAGATTGACTACTCATATAAATGGCATTTGGATTTTCTCCTCTTTCAACACTTGAACCAAAAATCGATGAAGGTGTAGCTTGTTGATTTGAGAATAATAAGAACTGTGATTGATCGTGATCTAATGGTTGAATCCCCCTCCCTTCCCTTTGACCAAGACGGTGTCTTCTTTCGATTGATGCAACAATAGATAAATTTTGAAGTATTCTCTCTTCCATGCGAAGCTATAGAGCGAGAAAAAGTTAATATAAACAAGTTGTTGAAGCATGACGTGCACAAAATGTAAGAAAACACATATCAATACTTAAGAATGGGATAACTCACACTTTCAAATCCAAAATTTCCAATAGAAGGGTGATGAAAGGTGTTAACATTTCTTGATGTAGTTTCCCTCCACTTTCTCTCTTGCTCTACTCCCTCAAACAATTCCTGACTGTCGTGAAACACACGATATTGATTACATGATAAACCAATTGTTAGAAAAACAATTTATAGTAAAAGAGAAAATAAAAAAAGTAGAACACAAGTAATGAACATCATGTTATTTTATGCAGTTCAGTCAAGTGTGTCTATTTTATGACTACAAGGAAATTATAGTTTCGTCTTATTATATGAATAAATTAAGATTTCAATATTACAAGTCATATATAAAATGCTATAACTCATATTACAAAAATCCCAATGAAGCATACCATGAGGCATATCGCCCCCGCACCTCAGTTGTCCCCCAATAATCAATCGGGTCTAAGACACAACTTGGTCAAATGTAAGGGCGGGGACGAAGGTAGCCTCACATTACAACACTAGTTCTTCTCTCTGCCTCTTTGTTCCTTTCCTATGACTATGAGCCATATTCAACAATAGTTAACAAATTATAACACAGATAATATAGATATTGTTTAAAGTAAAGTTCACATAACCAACCCTGTAGGATCTTTCAAGCTAATAGGTTGCCAACACATAGGACACTTAGAGCTTCTTTGACACCTATAAATATGATCGGGTTAGAAATCGCTTCAGCATATGAGAGATATGAAAGAACAACTAGAAATATGAATTTGAGAGAGATACTAATGGAAAATAAGAATACCATTCAAGAACGCATTGTAGGTGAAACTCGTGTCGACAAACAGTGATCTATAATGTAAGAGAAATATAGAGAGAATAAGTAAGAAAGTTTTGTTCAAATAACAAACTATACACATAAACAAGAATATTACAGTTGAAGGATCGCTATTGCTGAACTCTTCGAGACATATACTGCAAGCATCATCGGAAGATTCTTGGATGCCTCCTTCAACAAAGGCTGCAGCTGATGTCATATGATTTTCAACTTTGTTTTCCATCTTTGGATCCTTTAACATATAGAAAATATTCATTCATAGTTATTAGCCAACTTCAAATTTCATCAGAAAATTTAAGAAAAAAAAGCATGCAAGAAGATCATTTATGAACATAATATATAAAATACCCAATTCAATTGTAGGAAAAAATTTATTTGAGAATTTGATGAAAAAATATGATGAAAAATTGATCAAATTCAACAAAATATACCTTATTGAGGGGAGATAAATAAAGGGTTAGGAATGAAAGGGAACAAACACCGATCAACAAGGGAATGAGGCTGGAATGTAAGGAACATAAAAGACAATATTATTAATTCTATGAGAGAAATGAAGAATATATATAGATAAAAAGAATGAAGACGGTTTTCTTTACCTTGATAAACCCTTCTTCCCTCCCTTCCTGTCTCCAGAACGTTAGGCTAGGAACATGAAAAAACTAATTAACTAACTTTTTTGTTCCTTTACCTTTAATATATAAACTAGCTCATTTTTTGCCGTTCTTTAAGAAAAAATAGATTACTTCCTATAAAATACTATTTTTAGAATATGTTTAATGGATATACATTGATGGTATATAAGAAAGTTTTGTGTTTTTCTTCAACGTATTTTACTAAAATATTTAGTAAAAAAATTCATTAAATACACATCTAAATTAAATGTGGAAAACTATAATAATACTGTTATATTATTTCATTATAATACTATTTTGGCAACTTGTAATTGATGTCCTATAAAATTATATTAATAATATTAATTATTATAATTATTATTATTATAAATTTTAAGAAACTATTCTAACATATTTTATATTATTTAGATTTTAAAAAAATTATGATTTATTTTATTGTATCTTTATCATTCAAAATCAAACTTATACTTCTAAAATTTACAACATCCACACACTTCCAAAAAATTGTATTTTACCTTTTTAGATTTAAGATTGGTCACCGACTTCAACGCAAAAAAGTTTTAATAGTGTCAGTTTGGTCCACGTTACAAGTCATTTTTTATTAAGTTATTTTTATGTTGAATCAGACACAGCTTAGCTGACACTAACTCCGGTGTGTTTTTCTTAAATTATTTTGTTTGTTTTATTAAACACAACCTAATAGTGGTAAGATTTTAATTATTTTTATTTAATGAGATAGACACGACTTAGCCGACGCTAGATAATTTGTCATTTTAAAAATAAAATAATCTGCTCAAGAGAAAGATTTGGTCCAACCAAGAATCAAACAACATACCTCTATATACATAAAACTTTCAATCAAGACAACAACCTCTACACCATAAATTATAACAAATTAATATATTGAATAATAGTTTTCCTCTTTTCATTTTTCTATCTCCCATCTTTTCATTTTTCCTTCTCGGTCTTTTTTTCCCTCCTCTATTTTCTTTTCCCTCTTCCATCCCCTATTTTCTTTTTCATTTCTTTTCAAGCTCACGCTCACAAATTCCAATTTTTTTTCTCTTTGTTTCTAAATCAATTGAGATTCATAATACCACTAAATCATTGTATTCTTAAAAAACATCATCATCCAACAATTTTTTCTATTCCTTTTTGAATTTTTATTTGGTTAGGATTTTTTATTTCAACAATACATACTTCCTCTTCCCTATTTACGAAGGTAATGCCACTGAGACTTTTCAAATTTTCATAGTCAAGGTTTTTGTTTTAAATTTTTTTCTTAATCTCATTATTCCATCTTTTCTGTATGGTGAAATTGCTTTTTATTGTGTTGAGAGTAATAAATTAGAATTCACAGGTTAGGGAATTCGTTGTCTTGTTAGGTTAAGGTTTGATTTTTTGTGTATGGAGATAATAAATTGAAATACCACAACAAGTAGAATGACTAATGCCAGAAGAATAGACTGTAATATTTTACTACACATTTGACTTTACAAAGCTTGACATTAGTGTCGGCCAGACCTAAGCTAGAAATATTTTTGTTGACTTTAACATTTCACTTTAGCGTTGGCTACACCGACGCTGACTTATTTTGTTGACTTTATTAGTTCGACTTTAGCACCAGTTAGACCGAACTTGTATTATTTTGTCGATTTTAAAAGTTTGACTTTCAAGTCGATTAGGCCGAAGCTAACATATTTTGTTGACCTTAGAAGGTTGACTTTAGCGCCGGTTGAACCAACACTAACATATTTTGTTGACTATATAAGTTGACTTTAGTGTTAGTGTGGCCGAAGCTACAAAGTTTAGTTAACTTTTAAAGTTAGTTCTTAGTGTTGGCTTCAGGTTAGCGTCGGTCTAGACTCGGATTTCCCGAGGCTATGGTAGACATTGCTGTTTTTTGCCAATGCGAAGGTTTAACTTTGCTTTTTATACCGATGCTCATCAAAACCAGTAATGCTTTGATGAATCAACATCACAATAGAAGAGAGAGGACTCAATTTGATCCTCTCACCATGATTTATAGAATACTGTTTGCATCTCTGGTTCAGAAAGGGTTTATCGTCACTAGTCTTCTTCCTCCGATGCCAGAGCCATACCCCCACTGGTATGACCTCAATACGCAATGCGAATTCCATGAGGGCACGTTAGGACATTCGTTAGAAGGTTTCCATGCACTAAATGCTAAGGTTCAAGACCTAATTAACAGTAAGATATTATCTTTTAATGAAAACAAACCGAACGTCATAAATAACCCTGTGGCGGCCCATGGAGGACCCGCTATCAATGCAATGGAAGAAGCGACCAGTGGACAATGGATTAGAGATGTGAAGAAAGAAAAAACCCAGCTAAAATAATTCCATGCAAGACTGGTGGAATATGGATTAGTTAAAGAGAGACACGATGAATACACTGAGTTTTCTACTAAGCTTGAGGGGTGACCGATTGTGTAAAGAAACATTCAGCATCTAATGGACCAGTGAGTGGTCCAAATTAGTCATGAAGAGGCTTCCAAAAATGTATATGTAATCGAACCTAATTTCGAGCTACCAACATCAGTAGAGATTGAATATGAGAGGGTATATAACGCTCAACAGAGGGGAAATCAGATATCTCTATTGATTGTTTGCAAACCATCCCTTTTTCCAACTAAGAGTATCAAGGTTGTGTGCTAGTGTTATGATATAAGTATCTTGGTAAATGGTCAAAAGGAGTGTGTGAAGGACAAACCTACAAATGTTGTCAGGTCGAATGTTTCCAACATCGCAGGAGCTATCAAAATGATTTGCAATGGTTGCATTTTTACACCTGCACAACCCTAAAAGGTAGTTGAAGAAGCGTCTAAAGGACCTGTGATAAGAGTGTTGCAACCCAGCAAAGGATTGGATGTTGCTAGGGATGCATCCTCACTCAAGGAAGCACATGAGTTCCTAAGGATAATTAAGAGGAGAGTTTATAAAATTATGGACTAACTCCACCAAACTCCCTCAAAAATATCTATCTTGTCACTATTATTGAACTTAGAGGCTCACAGGGAAACCTTACTGAAGGTGCTCACCCAGGCTCATGTAGCGCGAAGTATTACTGTGGATCAATTTGACGGAGTTGTATCCAACATTATATCTTGTTGCAATTTGAGCTTCAGTGATAAAGAGCTCTCTAAAGAGGGAAGGAATCATAATCGAGCGTTGTATATCTCCATGAAGTGTCTAGACGGTGTGCTAGCCCAGGTTTTGGTGAATACAGGCTCATCGTTAAACATTATGCCAAAGTCTACTTTGGTGGAGCTTTCCTGTAAAGAGACAATGATGAGGCCTAATGCCATGGTGGTTAAGGCATTTGATGGGTCCAGAAGAATTATAGTGGTTATAGTTGACGTACCCACACATAAAGGCCCTCATGTATTTAAAATAACCTTCCAGGTTATGGATATTAAACCAACTTATAGTTGTCTATCAGGAAGACCTTGGATCTATGTTGCGGGTGCGGTCACATCCATCATTCACTAGAAAATGAAGTTTGTAATCAAGGGCAAGTTGATCATAGTATTTGGTGAAGAAGATTTTTTGATCATTGATCTCTCGTTATTCCGGTACATAGAGGTTGGCGAGGAAGCGTTTGAAACTTCATTCCAAACCCTTGAAATTGCTAACATTGTGTTCTTGGAGGAGAAATACAAAGAAACAAGTGTAAGCTAGTCATTTGCCTCAATGGAGCGTGCCAAGAAAGTGCTGGAGAAGAGAAATCCCAAAGGCTAGGGTCGCTTGTCAACATCTCGAAGAAGAGGGATCACTTTGGAATAGGGTGCAAGCCTCCTATGAAGAGAGATGACTATGGACCCGTAAATACCATCGTCTGAAGTTTCCAAGAATTATTCTATAGTGCAAGTTTCATACATGACAACCAGGTAGCTGTTATAGAAGATAACACAACAGAGTCACAAATACAACTCCTAGTGTACCATTGTGCTCCTAAGACTGCCTTGGATAATTGGGAATCTATTGACCTACCATAACTATTTCCTTTATCAAAGTAATTTATTTTTCTCAAATCCTTTTACTCTGCCCAAAGCTTAAGGATAACATGTATGACCCATTTGTGTTAATTAAATATCATTATTAATAAAGGCATTTAGTTATTCAATCCTCTTTTTACTTTCGTTTTTAAGAAAATTGCAACCTTTTCAAAAATAAAATGTTTTATTTTTGCTTTTTTTTTAATTTTTGCTTTCTATTTCTAAAAAGAGTCATCATTAAAATCATGTAGAATAAAAAATGAACAAGTTGAACCCAATAACACCACAATCCCTCATAACTTTGAGCTCCCCATTAATAAAGCTGAAGAATAGTGTGAGGATGATTGTGATCTCCCTGATGATATGGCAAGGCTGCTCAAGACTGAGTCCAAAGCCATTCAGCTGCATCAAGAGCTGGTGGAGATAATCAACTTGGGCATGGAAGAAGAAAAGAAAGAGGTCAAGGTTAGGACCAGACTATAAGCATGTGTCAGATAGAGGTTGGTTAAGCTCCTACACGAGTACGTGAATGTGTTTGCCTGGTCATATCAAGATATGCAAGGACTAAACACA